CTGTCCCCTTTTCCTTATGAATCAGGGTGAAATCTCTCTCAGGGAGGAGTGATAGGGAATGGCAAAGGACACACTGACAAAGGAGATTAATCATAACTGGTTTTGACAAGCACTGTGGCAATGGGACAATTAAAAGAGACTTTCAAGGAAAAAAGCAAAAAGAAGAGGAAATTTTAACTGAATGACTCCGAGGCTTGCACTGAACCACATACTTTCTTCTTTCTCTGCCTCCTTTCCCTCTTTACATGATGTGTGGAATTACTCTGAAATAGTTCAAATGAGGAAAGCCAGCATTCAGCTGATGCAGGTTAAATGAATAGCTAGGACACCTCAAGGTTTTTACTCTTTTCCCTGCCAAGAGATTTCCAGAAGCCAAAACAAAGAGGAGACTGTCCAAAGTTAAAAAGATGAATGTAAGGTTCCAAAGGGCAGCAGAAGAGAAAGTGTTATAAAGGAAAGAGAAAAGAGCCAGAGTTGAAGACTATAAAGGGAATAGCTTGTTCAGCATTTATCAAGCTGAAAGAACTGGAAGGGGGCAGAATCCAAGCCTTAAATTGCAATACTGAAGGGTTGCAAAATAATGAATGATCCAGGAAGTGTCAAAAGAAGGTTAACGTAATACATGAAATCAATATGCCAAAAATAATTGGAAGATCCAGAACCGTTTTAGAAAATAGTGTTGACCAAGAGCCAATAGTGATAAAGAGGTTCAAGACTCATTGAAAGTATTAGCAAAATATAAGGCCCAGGAATTGATGGGCTGTCAATTGACATGTTTCTACAAGCAGATGCAGCCCTAGTTTTGCTCACCTAGCTATACCAGGAAATTTGGAGGGCAGCTACCTGGGCAACTGACTGGAAGAAGAGATCCATATTTGTTCCTATTACCAAGAAAAGTGATCCAACATAATGTGTAAATGACCGAACAGTATCATTAATATCACATGCAAGTAAACTCTTGTTGAGGATTATTCAACAACATGACATTGACAGAAAACTGCCAGAAATTGAGGTTAGATTCAGCAGAAGCAATAGCACTAGGAATATAATTGCTGATGACAGAAGGATCTTGGCTGAAAGTAGAGAATACCAGAGTGTCTATTTCTGTGTTCTTGATTATGCAAAGACATTTGACCGTGTAGATCTTAAGTTATGGTTAACATTGAGAAAAATGGCAATCCCAGAAAACTTAATTGTGCTCGTGTGAAATCTATACTTTAGCAAGAAACTGTTGTGTGAATAATCAAGGGTACACTGTTGTTCTTAAGTGCCGTCGAGCCATAGACGACTCATAGCGACCCTATGAATGAAAGGCCTGAGCACTCTTCATGCATAGAGTTTCCGCAGGCAAGCCATTTAGGAAGTGGATGTTGCTCCTGCTTCCAGGCTTGTTTTAGTTGGAAAGCTCCAGCAAACACTGTCCCCCATAGGTAACCATTACCAGGTTTAGCACATCAGTGTCACAGTGTTTAGCATCACAGCAACCAGGAGTTACCTCTGTACAGCAAATGGACAGACCAGTGCTATACCATTTAGAAAATGTTTGATCAAAAACAATGAAAACCAGGCCTGAGGGCCGCAGATTAAAATCACTCACCTTTGGCTTGGTAGTATCACTTTCTGTCCACCAGGCCAAGTGAGCTCTCTCATTGTTGTTGTTGTTGTTAAGTGCCATCAAGTCATAGATGACTCATAGCAACCCTATGAATGAAAGACCTGAGCACTTGTATAACTTTCATCATTTCTCCAAGTTCATAGGGTTTCCAGAGACAAATTATTTCAGATGTGGATGGCACTCTTGTAATTTTAGTTAAAATTCCTAGAGGCAATATTGTTGTTGTTGTGTGCCATTAAATCAGAACGGAGACACCTCAATCTTCCAGAGAGTTTTCAGAGGCCTGGGAGGAGATTGCCCATTCTTCTCCCACAGAGCAATTGGTGGACTTAAACTGCATGCCTTCAGGATTGCATTAGAGTTTCCTTGGCCACCAGGGTTCCCTGGGGTCAATATCATTTAACATCCATAATAATAGCAGGAATGGCATCCACTTCCTAAACAGTATGCCTCGGGAAACTCTATGAACTTTGAGAAATTATAGTTATCCAAAGGCCTCAGGTCTTTTGTTCATATGGTTGCTATGAGTTGTGCTCAACTCAATGGCAATCCACAACTAAAATAATTGATTAGATCACAAAACCTTTTAGAATTTTCTCTTATTTAACTGCTTTTGAGTTTGCCCCAAGTAATGGTGACCTCACACACACAAGTGAAGACTTGCCCAATCTTGTGTCATCCCCATCATCAGTTGTGAATCACACTATTGTGATTCATTCCGTTTTCACTGACTAATATTTGAAGAAGGAGCGCTGTTGGCCTAGAGGCTAAGGGGGTAAAGGGTTGTACTGCCAACGCAGAAGTACATCAGTTGCTCTGTAGGAGAAAGGTGGGTGACCTCTGCCTGTGTGGTTTTTACTGTCCCTTAAAAACTACTGAAGGGTCAGCTATGGATCACTTCTTACTTGAAAGTTCTCAAAAACAATAACAAAAATAGATCTCTGGTGGCCTACTGGAAAGAATTTGGCCTGCTAAACTTAAGGCACCCAGTTCTAATTCTCTCACTTACATGGAAGAATGATGAGCACCGAGCTTCTGTGTAATTTAAGTCCTCTACAAACCCACTGGAGGGTCATTTATGAGTAATTTCCTGCTCAATCACAGAACAACAATATTTGGAAGAAGATTGTCAGGCCTTTCTTCCTAATCCAGACTGAGGAATCTATCTTTGCTGACAAAAAGCCTCCAGTGGCAAATGAGCAAACCGTTACAAAAGAAAAACGTTGTTAAAACAAAACAAAAAGAGAAGGAAGGGCATTGCATACTCATTAAAGACACAGCAGAACACGAAGATACAACTTTGATCAACAATTGCACACAAAATGATGTTATTCTTGCTATGTGCCCTTGAGTCACCTGCAATCCATCGTAACCCTATGTACAGCAGCTCTGAAGGCTGCTCTGTCCTGAGCCAGGTCACTGATTCTGACCCATCAATCCCCATGGCCCCCATTATTGTATCAATCCATCTCATCTGGCTTCTTCCACTCCTGCATTGTCCTTCCACCATTCTAAGGCATGATGTCCTCCCTCAGAGACTTGTCCTTCCTGGCCACTTGTCCAAAATATGAGAGACAGAGCTTCAAAATCCTAACCTCCAAGGAGACACTTGGTTTCACCCTCTTCAAGACAGACCTATTTGGTTTTTATGGCAGTCCATGTTATGTTCAAAAATCTGCTCCAGTACCACAACTCAAAGGCATTAATTCTTCTTCTGTCATCATTAGTCATTATTCAGCTCTCTGATGCATAGCAAGTAATTGCAAAGACCATGTTCTGGATGAGGTGCACCTTAATATCTAGACTGATATAGTTGCTTTTCTGTACTCTGGAGAGGTCCCTGAGAGCAGATATGCCTAATGCAACTTGTCTTTTGATTCCCTGACTGCTGGTGTTGATTTTGAAACCAAGCAAGCTGTAATTGTTAACATCCTCAATCTCTTCTCCATCTATCATGGTGCTGCAAATTGGCCCAGTAGTGAGAATCTTTGCTTTCTTGATACTGAGCTTCAATCCATCTTGATGACTACATTTCTTGATCTTCTGCAGCAAGCAAGTAAGTGCTTTAGGACATTTGCATGATGTAAATTGTTGATGAGTCTTCCCCCAACCCTGATGCCACATTCCTCTCATAAAGCCCAGCTTCCTGAATGATATGTTCTGCGTATAGTCTGAAAAGGTACAGAAAGGCAAGATCTATCTTTGATGTACTTCTTTCTTTATTTTGATCCATGCAGTGTTTCCTTGCTCTGTTCTGAGAACACAACCAAACAGTCCACACCTGACCCATACCAAGAAGAGAGAGTAACCATTTTTCCAGAATCCAACTGCTTCACACATGAGCTTGGCTTAAAGAATTAATAGATTTCCTGCTTGAGATATGATGCTCTTTTTTTTGCTCATAATACAACTTAGGTATAAATTTTACATAGACAATTAATCAATAATATGTCTGTTTATATGATATCTGAGTAACAGGTAGATGTCATAGAGAACTCACAGCCAAATAAAATAATATAGACTCACAGTAGAATATTAATATGTGCAATAACACTGGTACAGTCTGATTGATTCCTATTCAGGCCTGTTTCAGACTGACACCTTGGTCCTTCCTTACATACCAATTAGACTATTTCCCCTCTTACAATTTTTCTATTACTTTCCCTGTTTTCTGTACTCATTTTCCACTCTTTCATGGTGTATAAACTTATTTTCATATAATACATCTTTTTATGTATGCTTGTTTTTTGCTGCAGAGCATCAGAGACTGCAGCCTACACTATGCACTGCATCTCAATGTCGTGAAAACAAAAATCCAGACTTAATGACTGATAGACAATATTACGATAGATGGAGAAAAGATTGCCGTTGTCAACTAAATCTTCCTTGGATCCTCAATCAATAAACTCGGTACTAGCCATCAAGAGATTAGAGACGTATTGAACTGTGAAAGACTATAGTCAGGAACCTCCCCAAATTACTGAGGGTCAGTGAGGTCAGTTTGAGGACCAAAGTGTGCCTGATTCAGGCCACAGTCTCTTCAGTCACTTGCCATGCACCTGAGAGCATAACAATGAATAAGAGTTACAAAAGAAAAAAAAATTGATGCCTTTGAAATGTGGTATTAGATAAGAATGTAGAAGATCCCATGGATTGCCAAAAGAACAAACAGGTAATCCTTGGAGAAGGTGCAGACAGAAGGCACTTCTTTTTTTTTTCTATATTTTATTAATTTTCATAAACATTTACAGAGATTTTGGGTTTCCATTCATTCCTTGTTGCACTACAGAAGGCACTTCTTGAAGGCAAAAATGATAAAGCTTTGTCTCACATACATTGGACATGTTGCTAGGAGGCATTATTTCTTGGAGAGGGACATCATGTTTGGGAAGGTGGAAGCAAAAAGAGGAAGACCCACAACTAGATGGATTGAGCCAGTAATGATAGTAAAGGGCTTGAAGGTGTCAGAGATTGTGAGGATGGCACAGAATAGGACAGGCTTGGGACAGTTTGTTCATGGGGTCACTATGAGTCACTCAATTCGAGGGTACCTAATAACAACAATAATAACAAAACAGTGGTTCGCATCACCACTAACCTGTCAGTTTATCTTACTATGGTGTCTTACCTGTTCCTGTAACGATGGAAGCTATGCCACTGGTATTTCAAATACCATCAGGGTCACTCAAATATCACAAGGGTCAGTGGAACTGACAGAATGAGACAAACTGAGCAGCAGTATTTACCATCCATTTCTGAAATAACAAGTCATCAAAAACCCTATTGGTAATAGGAAAAAATGATGAGACCAGATGTACCATGTGAACCCCTCATATTTCAAGACAGCAAAAGTGCATCTGGCAAAGAACTGCCTCCTCAAAGCACAGTCTACCAAAATGATGCAGATGGTGTAAAGCTTTCACCCAGTGAAGAATCTTCATTTGCTGATGTGGCAAGACTCAAAACAGGGGAAAAACAGATACAGAACATCCGTTAATAATGGACAGAGGATGTTGAAGTTATTATTGATGTTAGGTGCCCTCAAGATAAGGACGACTCATAACAACCTTCTAAACAACAGATCTGAACTTTGTTTTCTCCTGTGCAAGCCTTTCAACCTCTGACACATTCAAGCACATTGCTCACATCACTAAGTTAACCCACCAGGATGATGGTCTTCTATTTCATGATCCTTCCACTTTCTCAATTACAATGATCCTCTTCAAAGAGTTACTGTTCCCTAGTAACATGCCCAAAGCATTTGATCATCTTTGCCTCCAAGGAGAACTCTGGCTTCACCTCCAAAACTCTGGATTTTTTTCATTTGGCAGTTCAATACCACAACACTTCTTATGTCATTCTTACTCATTGTCCAGTTCTGATACGCATAGCAAGTGACCAAAAAGACAATGGTTTGAATGAGGTACACCTTAGTCCGTAAACTGGCATCATTGCTCCTGAATAATTTGGAGAAGTCCATGACGACAGACTTTCTAAGTGCAAAATGTTTCCTGGTCTCCTGACTGCTAGTACCAAATGTGTTGATTGTGGATCCAAGTAAGACAAAGTTGTTGGCAGTCTCAATCTTTTCTTCGTGTATTGAAATTGGAACGCACTAAAATTGTGACAGGTAAATAGCTGTCTCATTTAAGAAGAGTCTACCAAAATGACATTTGAGGAGAAGGACATGACATGATATGACAAGGAGAAAAGACTGCAGAACATCTATTAATTAATGATGTACTGAACATGGAAAGTAAAAAATACTAGGAAAATTGATAGTTGTCAAATGTGACATTAAATGCATGAAGGTCAGCATCCTAGACATTAGAGAGCTGAGATATACTGATATTGGCCTTTGTAAAGAAGAGTGCACGCATGTTGGGGATGTGTAAGTCTGATGTTGGTTAACTTAACAAAGGGGAATAATTTCCATCAGCAACAATCACAAAACAAAACCAATTCTCATACTCTCTTCCATGAACAATCTCTGTGCTTCCACATATACTTCTACCAATTCCAACATGGCCTGGTCCATCACTAGTCAAAAACATTTTTCATGTGATTTTATATGTTGCAATAGGTACGTGGATCTCACAGATATATATCCCAAATTGTAGAATTTATTGGGAAAATAAATAGGTTATAATTAAAACTGACAGCAGAACAAAATCTCTGAATCAAGATATCTTCCCAAGCATGCTTACAAGTCCCTTGACCTTTAGTCTTGTGGCTTTAGGTGAGATTTTCAGAGCTCTTTTAATCTTGTAAATAATGGTTTGATGAAAGGCCCTGATTCGGATTCTGACTTCGTGGAGCAGCATTTCCAAATCAACTCTGTCACATATCAGTTTCTGGTTCTCTGCTGCAGCTACTGATACTCTTGGTCTGACTTGGCACAGCAATCTCTGGCCTCAAAGAACACATACTTTTGCAGTATTTGTCCTTATGAGACTTGAGTTAGTTCACTTAGCATAATGCTCTCTAGTCAAATAAAGCAAAACAAAACCCCAAATTGCACTGGGAAAATCTGCTGACAGAGACCTCTCCAGAGTATTAAAAAGCAGTGATGAAAATCTGAAGACTAAGGGGTGCCTGATCCAGTCCACCGTCTTCTCAATTGCTTATTATGCATCAGAGAACTGGACAATTACTCAGGATGACAAGAAGAATTGATGCCATTGAGTTGTGGTGCTAGAGAAGAGTATTGAACACGCAATGGACTGCCGAGAGAAGTAACAAGTTTCTTCTGGAGAGGGTGAAACCAAGTTACTCCTTAGAGAGAAAGATTTAGAACCTCCATTTCTCATACTCTGGACACGTTGTCAGGAGGGTTCAGACTTTGGAGAAAGACATCATAGTTAGAAGGATGGAGGGACAGCTTAATACTTAATGATGAAGTGTAGTTACAGCTTCAGTGTGGACTTTCTAAAGTATTCCAGTAACCTTCTGATGCACAAAGTCTGTGGGCCACACACAGAGTTTCTATGATGCATGTTAATTGAATGATGTGAAGTTCGAATCCACCACACAGAGGCAATTTAAAAGAAAGTTATACTGATATGTTTCTTAAAACTAAACAACTCTCAACAAAATAAAAATGAATCAGCCAAACTACCAATGATTGAATACCCTTTATAGAGCACATTTTTGTTCTGACATATATAAAGATACAACCTAACAAGCAACTTTGAGCGTAGAGTCTTCTCTCATTTGGGATTGTCCTGTTTACAACCATAGAAAGTGAAGTATATTAATTGTCTTTAGCCCACTCTTAACTTTGGAACTTTTCTAAACAGCAGTCCAAGGGACCTCTCTGGAATGCTAAGAGCAACAATGTCAGCTTAGTGACTAAAATGTGCCTCATCGAGGCCATGGTCTTCACAATAGCGTGTATCAGACAGCTGAACAATGAGAAAAAACTGATAGGAGAATCAACGGCTTTGAGTTCTGCTGCTGGAGAAGAATATTGAATTCTTCATATTATGAACTGCCAAGAGAACAAACATGTCTGTCATGTTGCAATAAGGGTCTAGTCCTCGGAGAAGGACATTTTGTTTGGAAAGGTGGAGGGACAGCAAAGAAGAGGAAAACACTAGATGAGATGGATTGACACAGTTACTGGGGTAACGAGGTAGGTGTGCCAGAGCCAGTAAGATTGGCTCAGGACAGAGCAGGGTTTTAAGAGCAACACTGTGCATAGGGTCACCATGCGTCATAATCAACTTGATAGCACAGAACAGCAATAAATAATGTCTTTAAATTCCACGATTTTAATATGGTTACTGATATCACACTATTGTTTACATATATAAAATTGTCTTGCTGTACTCTGAAGTTTTGTGACCGGCTTCATAGCTTGCATTGTTCCCGACACTTTCTGACTCATTATCTTTCTCAGATTTTTTATCTCAAGTTGATTTTTGCACTAGGTCAATAAGTTATCTTTTTAATTTATTAAGAACACATTTAGAATCTCTGATTTAATTCAGTTCACTCATCTTGGTAGTTCTTTGGCTAGTCTCAGATTGAACTTATTTTCTATTGCTGTATTTAAACCACTGATCAATTATTTTGTTTCCTATGATGTCAAACCTTTAGCTATCGAGAACATTCATCTTAATTTTGAGAGTTTATTTCTCAGAAAATATTTTTAAGAATTATTTTTAGCAATTTCACACAAAATATATACCCCTTGTGGTTTCACACATTACTTCACTCACATTGTCTTACATACGATAATATCCAGACGTTATTTTTTATGAAAGCAATCACCTTTGATCTATGTCCATTTTCAGCCCATCTTTCCACACCCCCAGCTGGATCTTTTCTAATTCCTTCTCTCAGGAAACAGTTTATGTTTCTGTATTTCGTGAAAATACAATATTTTTCTTCCCAAAACTGCTCAATTTGACTGCTCAAAAACTCCTGCATACTTGAAAATCAAACAAGAAAATTGTGTACTGTGAGTGGGTGATTGATTGTTGAGGTCTTATTGATTTTACAAATGAAATATAAAATATTTGAGTCTTTTTTTTTCTGATTTCCAAAGAATCCTACATTCTGGGTTTTTAAATTTTTTTTTTTGGTTTGTAATTTCACATATTTTATTGCAAACCCAGTACCATCTGGTACCATTTGGTGGGCGATAAAATGGGAGTGTCTAAGATTCTTCCCATTACTAAGAGTTTTAGAAGGTCTTTGGATTGGGAGATGACTGAGGGTGCAGGAAGCCAGGTGGGGCCAGAGAGGGTACGAGCGGAGGTGAAGCAGCTGCTCAAGGAGAAGGGGAACTGGGAGCAGAAGCTGGAGCAGAAGCACACGG